AAAAATGAGCCGGGCGTGGTAGCGCACGCCTGTAGTTCCAGCTACTTGGAAGGCTGAGGCGGAAGGATTGCCAGAGCCCAGCAGGTCCAGGCTGTGGTGGCCGGGAGCGGCCACTGCACTCCAGTCTGGGTGACAGAGTGAGACTCCAACTCAAAGACAAACAAACAAATAAAAAACCAAAAAAACCCAATGCCTTGGCTTCTTTTAATAGTCATAGTTCTTAGTGACTTTACTATTTTGAATTAATATTTAATTGCATTCTTTGTTACTTTAAAAAATATTTTTTGTTAAATTTGTATTACAAAGAAGTTGATCATTTTAAACCTTTTCAATAACCATTGTGTTTCTGTTTGAATTATTATTGTGACAAAACTCAGCAATTTATGCTAGCTTAAAATTATTTTTGTTTAATTCTGGAAACACATTATTCATTGGTACTTTCAACAAATATCATATTACATAGTCCATGTCAGGTCTTGTGCTAGGCTCTCAGGGTGTAAAGATGCCCCAAACTTGGCACTTACCCTAGAGAAACCACAGTAGAGGTACATAAAGCAGGTACTTTATGTCCAATGGGTAATCGGACTAACTGAGGGATGAACAAAGTGCTGTGGGTTCAGAACCGACAGAGATGAGTTGTCAGGAGAAAGAGTTAAGAGCACATGAAAACCCATGCAGCTTTCTTCTTATATAGTGTCTTACCTGTTTTTCCTTCTTACAGATTTGTTGATTCTCATTTTGTATTGGAAAGTGATTGGTGACAGATGTTTTGTAGTTCACCATTGTTCAGCGCTTTTTGGGTGCTTCATAATACTGGTGAGTGCCAGGATTTTCAGTAGTCTAACAAGCAGCCAAGATTGAGATTAGTGACTTAAGGGTGAACATAAATCTAAACATATAATTCCTAATTTGTAAGGAATATCTCCAAATGCATCCAGAGATTGTGCTTGTACTGTGTTATTTTACATGTTAACTGAAATAATAACTTTACGTATGTGTCTTATTAGTGTGTCTGTCTATTTGTGTGCATAAACTTTGAGAGAGGCAGATGACCCTTATTCCTTTAATTTCTACTTAAAACCTTCTGGATTGTGTAGCTGTAGGTATTTTTCTATCTTTATAGATGCATTTATGATTTAGCAGTCAGGGGTATGTATAGATTCCTGTTTACCTAGTTAAAGTATTTCTTTTCTGTTTAATTCTGTATACAATTCCATGTACATGCATAACTACATTTAAGTAGGTTGGAGCAGTAGGGGAATCTTGCTCAGAGATGATCAGAATTCCAGGACTGAGGTTAATAGAAGATTGCAACAAATCTCAGACAGTAAATCATATTAAATTCTAGATCTAAAATTATTTTTCTATATATGCATTTGTAAACTAGCAACCTGCATATTCATTAGGTTTTCCCCTAATCGATTATTTTTCAACCTAGACTTGCTGACAAAGTCAAGATACATATTTGTAAATAATAGATGTAAGTAAACTAGAATTTTATGAAATAGATATGGTATACCTACATTTTCTATTTGAAAACTTAAATGTAGCCTCTGGCTTTGTTCTTCTTTCATTTGGTATTACTAAAATCCTTATATTATTGGATATTTGTAACTATTTGGAGGATTTTTAAAAATTGATACAACTGTGTATTCATAATATTCTTCCATTTTCATTGGTCAATATGCCTGTTCTTGTACCAATATCAGGCTGTTTTGATTATTTTAGCTTTATAATAAAGCTTAAAGTCTGGAAGTATGATACCTCTCACTTTGTCTCTTTTGCAGAGGGTTGTTTTGGCTATTTGTGGTCTTTTTTGTTTCCATATTAATTTCTGTAGTGTCATTTCCAGGTCTGAGAAGAATGATATTGGTAATTTGATGGGTATTGCATTGACTCTGTAGATTGCCTTGGGTAGGATGGATAGCTTTACAATATTGATTCTTCCAATTCATGAGCATAGAATATTTTCCTATTTTTGTGTGTCTTCAAATGATATTATTATTGCAACTATATAAAACCTTTTAATTTTATTTATTTTATTTTATTTTTTGAGTCAGAGTTTCACTCTGTCACCAGGCTGGAGTGCAGTGGCATGCTCACGGCCACAGCAGCCTCCACCTGCTGTGCTTAGGTGATCTTTCTGCCTCAGTCTTCCAAGTAGCAGAAACTACAGGTGTGTACCACTGTGCCCGGCTAAGTTTTTAAAATTTTTTTGTAGAGACAAGGTCTCGCTGTGTTGCTCAGACTGCTGTCAAACCCATGGACTCAGGCAGTCCTCTTGCCTCCACCTCCCAAAGTGCTGGCATTACAGGCATGAGCCACCACACCTGGCTGAACTTTTTAATTGTATTTTATTTTAACTTTTTAAAATTTTAAAGATGGGGGTACAACTCAAGGTTAAGTATACAGACATTCATTATGCAGGCACCCTTGTTGATGGGCAGGCATCTTTCCTCCCCCCCCCCCCCCACCCCGGGCAGAATGCTACTACTGCCAATCCTGCCCTCCCCAGCAATTTCCCGTTACTGATAATCCTTTTCTTATAGTGTTATGATCATTGGAACTACATAAAACATAAAGTGGTGAATAGAAGCAAATTCCTTGTAGGTTTTAAATGTATGCCCTATTGAAGAAATAGTTGAAAAATAAGATTCTTTGGAATTTGGTTTATAATAGATATAATATCTTGATCACTATTTTTTGTACTGCTTTCCACTATATTTACTGGAGTTTAAAAATTCTCTGGCAGAATAATTTAAAGCTCAAGGTTACTCTTTTATTTATGTAGAGAGGTACAAATTCTGTGTCTTTTTCTAATATTCAGCTTTTACTTCTGGGACAGGACACTAGTTATTAAAGAAAGCATGATCGCTTTACAAAGGAAATGCACACATTTATGTGTTAATGTCTCATTTTTAAGGATAGACGACCATCTTTTGTATACCCTGACTTGTTTTGTAGCCTTATTATTTGTGTGTTCCTTGTGAATCCTCTCTTCTCTTCAATCAAACCATGCCTTTAGATAATGAATTACAATGCATTTGGAAAACATTTCAACTTAAAAATCACTGAGTATGCATCCTTTTCCAACTCTGCTGTTATATGACACTACCCTGGAATCTAATCATTAAACCATTCTTTTGCAATTTAGGAAGAAAATCTGGTTTCAAATGGTTCTTGGTGCATTTACTTAAGGGTATTAGGTGCAGTGTCATGCCTTAAGGGTGAAAATTTCTGTTACTTGTTTAATGCTTTCCCCAGTATCTATACTTTGAAAACATTTTGCAAGCAAATCTGTATGAAGTAGTATTGAAAATGGAAAAATCTGTTATGTCAGGTTCAGCATAATTGTAATTTACACTAGACAAAACTTAGAAAATATTGGTCTTATGTTTAGTCTAAAGAGAAATCTTTACCGTAATGTCATGCCATAAGACGAATGCCATGACTCACTAACATTTTATCATTAACAATGTTAAAAAAAACCTTTTAAAAGGGTTTTAAACATGTCACCTTTTGATAATTATTCATATCTACCATATTTTGTCATTTTCTTCCATTAGAATAACCTTAAAGAAAAATTTCAGGTAACTATAGTAACTGATATAGCAACATTTCAAAAGATAACAAAATTTCAAAAATTTATTAGGTGGGTGTTAAAAATAGCCATCTAATATAGCTTACTACAGCAGGATAATATTAAAGACTATGTGATTTCCATTTGCCATTATATTTGCATTCAGTTAAAAATGTTAAATATTTGCCAGGCTCAATGGCTCAGGCTGTAATTCCAGCACTTTGGGAGGCTGAGGCGAGTGGATTGCCGGAGCCTGCTGGTTTGAGATCAGCCTGGGCAACTGGTGAGACCTCGTCTCTACAATAAATAAAAAATTAGCCTGGTGTGGTAGCACGCACCTACAGCTTTGGCTACTTGGAAGGCTGAGTCGGATGGATTGCTGGAGCCCAGCAGGTCGATTCTGGGGTGGCCATGAGCGTACCACTGCACTCCCACCTGGGCGACAGAGTGAGACTCCAACTCAAAAAAAAAAAAAAAAGTTAAATGTCAATGAAAAATACTTTAAAAACTTGAATAATGTGTTAAGTGATTTTTTCCTATTGAAATAAAATATTTTCAGCCTTCTTTTTCTTTTTTTTTCATTTGAGTGAGAGTCTTACTCTGTCACCCAGACTGGAGTGCAGTGTCAACACTCACATCCACCATAGCCTTGACCTGCTCAGGTAATTCTTCCACCTCAGCCTTCCTAGTAGCTGGAACCACAGGCATGTACCACCATGCCCAGCTAATTTTTTGATTCATTGTGGAGATGAGGTCCCACCATGTTTCCTAGACTGGTCTCGAACCTGTGAACTTAGGCAATCCTCTTGCCTCAGCCTCCTAAAGTGCTGGGATTACAGGCATGAGTCTCTGTGCCCTACTGATTTTCAGCTTTCTTACACAGTAATGAAGCAATTGCCTGGCAGAAGTAAGTCTTGGGAAATGTTTTATTAATATTTCTATAGCACACATGTAGCAATCTATATAAAAGCACCAATATGCATTTAATTTATAACTCTTACTACAAATTGAGAGACCAACATGATGAAAATGTTAAGTGGTTAGTTTAAAAAGTATGTGTTACATATTTACATATATAAAATATACAAATATATACATATACTATATGTATGTATGTTTTTTGTTTTATCATTTACTTTTTAAAGAAAACCTTTCCTTTTTTTTTCTTGAGTTGCAGTCTCACTCTGTTTCCCAGACTGGAGTGAAGTGACATGCTCACGGCCTCCACAGCCTCGACCTGCTGGGCTTAGGTGATCCTTCCACCTCAGCCTACCAAGTAACTGGAATTACAGGCAAGCGCCACCCTGCCCGGCTAATGTTTTGATTTATTATAGAGATGGGGATCTTGCCAAGTTGCCCGGGCTAGTCTTGAACCCATGGGCTCAGGCAGTCTCTCACCTTGGCCTCCCAAAGTGCTGGGACTATAGGCATGAGTCACTGTGCCCAGCATGTTTACTTTTAATATAGAATATCTGATGTGGCCATGTCCATAATTTCCAAACATAACAAAGGTCTTCTAAGGCTTCCTCAGTGTTGGGTTTAGAGGAGCTTAAGTGTAGGCTCTACCTACCTTCCTTGTCCTGTGGTTACTGTTTCATGTTCTTTGGGGAAATAAAGTGTCCCCTCAGATTTGTGTAGTGGAATTACCTTAGCAGAACTGTTTCCCTTTTTTTCTCTAAGCTTGCTTGCTTTTTGAATCTTATTTTCCTTTCAATACCAAGAATGAAAATGGTTGCTAAATTGGACTTGGTACATGTTGGTAAAATAGATGTCAGCCAGGAAAATTGCCATGTCTACCCAAATTGATATTTTATTCTTAGTTAGATTTTTTAAAAAGAAGTCATTTTATATGATTTCCCTTAGATGAGGTACCTAGAATAGTCAAGTTTATAAGGATGGGAAATAGGATAGTGGTTACCTGGGGCTGGGCAGAAGGGGTAGTGGGGAGTTATGGTGCAGAGTTTCAGTTTGGGAAGTTCAGGAGATGGGTCGTGGGATTAGTAGCACAATATGAAAATACTTAATCCCTCAAACCAGGTGACCTGGGGACCAGAGTGAGGCCCAAATTTTATCTGTATAATGATCATTTGTCTATCTAACCCTGAATTGTACCCTGCATTATTAAAATTAAAAAAAAAATAAAGTACTAAGTGCCATGGAGTTATACATTTAAAAGGTGTCAAACAAGTAAATTCTATGTATCCTTTACAGCAATAACAAAGTTTAAAAAAAAGCA